CTTATGCTCCCAATACAAGTCTTGCATCTGAAGAAGTGAGGTTCTTACCCACGAAAGCTTATGCTCCCAATACAAGTCTTGCATCTGAAGAAGTGAGGTTCTTACCCACGAAAGATTATGCTCCCAATACTTCTGTTAATCTTAAAGGTGCCACAGGACCCTCTGTTGCTTTTTACAGATTCAGACTAACACGGCTACCCCTCTGATCTTAGAAAAGGTGCCAGAGTTCTTAGCACATTTCTATTGTATTTAAAATTCAGTTTATTTACTCAGTCACCAGTTTCATTCTTTAACAGAGCAATCTTAAAATAGATTTAAGGTCCAGCATTGGCCTGTTCCTCACACCATGTATTGTTAAAGATCTACATCTTCTGCATCCCAACAACTAATTCTATGCAACCCCATGTATACATGCACACAGTGTGAAACCCTGGTGTAGATCTTGATACTTCCTCTTGTTCCTCACATTTTTAAACAGTGACATTGTTAACTGTGTTGACATTTAAAGAATCACTGGCATACGAGTTAGCATCCAGTGAGGCAGTTCACACCTCAGAGCTAGTGTTTCAGGCTCTCTGCAAATCATGCAGATGTTTCTGCACTGCTTATACTCATGTAACAATTTCTTTGCAACCACAATGGCCAAGGGCTTTCAGGACCAAAGCAAATCCTCAAGACTCTGGAGTGTAATTGAGTGTCTGCTGCCCATGGCTAGTCTCTTAAGGCCATGCCCACACTCATGGAAACAATTCTAAATGGTCAGTCTCCACAGCTAATGTTGCAAGCCAATACCTACGTGCTGTAGAAAGTGGCACTAGAAATTCAGCAGGTGGCACTTACTTTTCCAATGAACCAATGGTCCACAGTATTAAGGATGTCGTGAGGCTGAAGGTGATGTTTTGATACAGCACAATGATCACAAGTGGCCATTTTTTGAGGATTCCATGGCACTTTTTACAAGAGCACTAAATTGTGTATGTTGGCCAAATTCCAACTAGGTAGTTACAATTTGGCCTCTCTAAACCGTCCTATAAGTTAGACCTGGTTTACACTAGAAAATTAAGTCGACTTAACTATGTCGCTCAGGGGTATGAAAAATCCACCTTCCTGAGCAGCGTAGTTAAGCCAAGCCAACCCAACCCCCAGTGCAGACAACACCAGGACAAAGGAAGAATTCTCTCAGGGAAGTGGATTGTTAACCGGAGGGGTTCTCCCATCAGCACAGGTAGTGTCTACACTACCGTGGTGCAGCTGCAGCACTGAAGCTGTAGCATTTCAAGTGTAGTATACAGTATTCCCTTCCTGGCAGACTGTGGCATAGTGTGTACTCTGTTAGCGTTGCCACTTTTCACAACAGCAGTGGCTACATTAGTAGAGATGAAGTGATTCCTGTGTACATCTTTTATTTCAGTTTAGTTGATAGAGTATTTATGGATTTGGGGGGGATGAAAGGACAAATGCAAGATTCTTTCACTCGAGACAGGCTTCTCCATGCCAGAAGTAAATTTCACATTTGGGGATGTCTACACAGCAGCTGGGAGGTGTAATTCCTAGCTTGGGCAAACATACTCAAGCTAGTGCTTAAACACAGCAGCACTGGCAGATGCTCAGGCTAGCCTCCAGAGCAGGGGTCGGCAACGTTAGGCACGCGGCTCACCAGGGTAAGCACCCTGGCGGCCGCATGCCGAATGTTGCCGACCCCTGCTCCAGAGTATGTACCCAGGGATCGGGCAGGATCGTACTCGGCCAGCTAAGAGAAGGCCTCTGCAGACGAGGAAACATGCTCTCACATTTAGAGGACTGTCAAATTTGAGGCCACTTTGCAATACAGTGGAACCTCAGAGTTACAAACACCCAAGTTACAAACTGACCAGTCAACCACACACCTCAGTTGGAACTGGAAGTGTGCAATCAAGCAGCAGCAGAGATTTAAAAAGAATAAAAAAAGCAAATACAATACAGTACTGTGTTAAACGTAAACTACTAAAAAAATAAAAGGAAAAGCAGCATTTTTCTTCTGCTTATTAACATTTCAAAGCTGTATTAAATCAATGATCAGTTGTAAACTTTTGAAAGAACAACCATAACGTTTTGTTCAGAATTATGAACATTTCAGAGTTCATTCCCAAGGTGTTCATAACTCTGACGTTCTACTGTATAGTTTCTCCCTGTTTGGTAAGAAATAGAGTGAGTGGGAGCATTGTTTTCAATTCCCTAGGGCAGGAAAGGAGCTGTTAAGCTCAGGGTTTTTTTTAAATGCTTTCAACACCACAGTTATTTGAGTTACTTAGAAGCCAGTCTACAGGTTAATATTACACAGCTCTGTAAAGAGGAGAGTGCCCTCTAGCTACTGGGAGAATGCCTTGAATGTGATTGTGATTAAGTGGCTTGATGCAGGTCAAACCAGTAAAAGGTAAGCACTAAAACTGACAAAATAGATGGAAACCTTGCACTCACTCAGTTCCTCCAAGGTGTTTGCCCACTTGTTTTATTTATGCTTTTATAAGTGTTACAAATTAAAAGACTAACACAGTGTTAAACTGTTTGGTAAATATGGGCCACACAACATAGCTTCTGTAAACCAGCATAAAAGGGACACAGTCTATGAAAATGTATACATTGGATTAGGACACAAGGACAGATAGGGCTTATTTTACTACATCAGACAGTTATTTTGTGAATTCTAATTTGATTTCTGGCCTAAACAATACTAATAATCATCTCAAGATATTATAGATTATATAAAGAACTGAGGTTTAAGTTATAACAAACAAAGGTTCTGATATTGACTATACATATCTCATCTGAAATCCCTGTATAATTAAAGTGCAAATCTAGTTTTACACATACCTGTGAGACAAAAAAATGCAGCTAAATATCGTTTTTCAAGGCCATCTTTATAGGTCTGAATCGCACCATATATTGGAGGTAGAATGAAAATCAGGTTACTCACTGTGTTCCCTGTAGGACAGAAACCAAAGCAGAGATTTAGTATTGGGCAACATGCACTTGAAATAAACAAAGCTACATTCATTCAAACAAGACTTCAACAGTTCTCAGTAAAAAGGCTACACCTTTTCTCCAAGCCTCTTTCTGCATTAGCACTTTATCCGCTGTTAGATTTTGCTACAGTCTGGGTAACCTCACATGTGCCTAGGTAATATTACAATACTACATCAGACCGAAGAGTAATACTAGATGTTGCTTATGTTTATGGCAAAGAAACAGAAAAAATATGGTTAATCTTGGTAGAATACAAAGCATATTTTATCAGAAATTCTTTCAGCAAATATAAATCCTCAAATAGCAGAAGTTTTGTTATTTTAAGGAGCTGCTTTTTTTGAAAAAGCAACTCCTGGGACACTTTGGGGGCACTAACACAAGCATAGAGTACTCCTTCCTTCTCTCCCCATGCTCTTCCCTCTGATCCCTCAAGACAGGTTATACAATTTTCATTTTAGATTTAATCAATGCTCTTCCCTCTGATCCCTCAAGACAGGTTATACAATTTTCATTTTAGATTTAATCATGTAAGCTAACTGCAGGCAACACGCTTCCCTCATCAGGGTTTAAAACTTACCATACACCTACTAACCAAGGCATATTTCTAAAGACAGATTTCAGTAGGACCAGCACGTTCTTAGTGCGGTCCAGAAGCAACAGATTGCTGGGACGTGTGACATCTGAACACAAGAGCTCTGCTACCAACACAGATCTCCAGTTTTTAGCTGAATAGAACTTGAAGGCATTTGCCAAAACACTGAGCTTGGCTGTATTCAGATACGTAGAACATGCAATCCGATAACACGAAGAGAAGACCAAAAATAAGTGTCACATTTTAGAACTACAACTAATCTATGATACCAGATGCCACAATAAGAATAGTGCACCTGCACAGATTCGATAAAGAACGACTCTACCATACTGACTGGGTAGTGTTTTTACATCCACTTTGCATGGGTATACTATAAATTACTTCACAAAGTGCAAAACAACAGTGAGTAAACCCTTAAGTAAGGCAACAGGAATTAAGCAAACAGGCTTGGTCTGAAGGGAGTGCAAATTCAGCATCTTATCCCTGCCTGATGTAGTCAGATTTTAGGAGCAGAAGTTATGTACGGTTGTTACCGAATTAAATACTGACCTATACTTTTCTTTAAAAGTGCAGATGCATAAAAATACAGGAGTCTGACCACCTGACAATATAAAGCACAGAGAAACATGTACTTGCAGATTACATCAGACCAAAAACCAGATATGCCTGATATAATGCTAATATCAGAACCTTATTATTCAAGGATTGCCAATAAGAGTTAAATTGTATAAAACCTTGAACAAACAGGTGCAGCTTGTGAAATGTGCAAGTTAATTTGGGGCATTCTGACCAATATTGCAGCTCAATATAGCACCTGCCACAGGAACTCGTCTCACACAAATACCTACTCCCCTCAAACTACTTGCCAAAAGGAAATGGGAAGAATCAAACTATGCTCAAGTGTTTTGAAGTCCAATTTATTCCAAGAAACACTACCAAAGAAACTATGCTTTACCTATTTAAACACTCTCCTGCAGTGCAAAAACCCCAGACACAGCAGCATTATTCCAGCATGAGAACCAGAATGTGAAATTAGATACTGATGAAGTAACTAGCCCAGGGGTAGGCAACCTTTCAGAAGTGGTGTGCCGAGTCTTCATTTATTCACTCTAATTTAAAGTTTCGCGTGCCAGTCATATATTTTAACGTTTTTAGAAGGTCTCTTTCTATAAGTCTATAATATATAACTAAACTATTGTTGTATGTAAAGTAAATAAGGGTTTTAAAATGTTTAAGAAGCTTCATTTAAAATTAAATTAAAATGCAGAGCCCCCCGGACCGGTGGCCAGGACCCAGGCAGTGTGAGTGCCACTGAAAATCAGCTCGCGTGCCGCCTTCGGCACACGTGCCATAGGTTGCCTACCCCTGAACTAGCCTATTTTCACTGTTAAAGCTCAGCAAACCTGAAAATGCAACTAGTATAAACACTGACAAATTTAGATTGCTTCCATTTTAGATGTTCTTCAGAAGCAGATACATCTTATCTGAAGCGAGTAGTACCTCTTTAACAAGCTGCATTACTAACATGATCATGCTTAGCAATGGCACAACCACCAGTTTGAACCAGTTATAAACAAAGCTGATCTGGTTGAAAGTCAGTGATCCCCAAAGAAAGGCCCCAGTCTTACAACCAGTGCTGCAGAAGCACACCCCCTGCACCCAAGTGAATCCTTACTGAGGTCAACAGGGCTGTGCAAAGACACCCAATGCCGATCTGACTGCAGGATAAGGACATACCCTATGGGATCTCTTCATTCTTAATTCCCCTTGGGAGTCACCAGCCCAACGACTAGTGTCAAGAAGACTATTCCCTATTCCAGTAGATGCATCCCTTTAAACAAGGCTAGATAATACTGAATCTCGTCTTGATCATTAGTTTGGGGAGAGGAGAGGTGCAGAGCCATCAGATAAGGAGAGAGAAGATTATAGGACCTCAGCAGGCTAAAGATACCCATTCTCTACCTTGTGGCACATCCCTAAAGTGGGCAGTAGGTCAGCCTCAACAGAATTCAGGGGTGGAAGAAGCTCCCGTTAAATTAAATATTTGTGTTGTATGTATTGTAAATATTTTAACTTGGCCATTATCTTGTCCTCCCCACAAACAATGCAAGAGAGCCATGTTGTCTGAAAAGGCAGGGTAAAGTTTCTTTAGAATATGGCCCTGTGTTCTAAGTCTTTATAATTTTCTAGAGTGGCTCTTAAATGCTCTGATTTCCCAAAGCAGTTATTGCAGATCATGTAAATCTCAATTTCTTAAAGATGACTATTAGTATGAAATGATTCATAGTATCCTAAGAAATATGCAAAAGAAGAATCAAATATAAAAATATTGAATTAAAGGAATATGTAAAGAAAGACCTGCTTATAACTGACAAAGCAAATCGTTTCAGAATAGAGCCCATTAAGGCTGGAAACTTCAGATTGATATGAGAACACAGAAAAGAGAACGATGTACATTAAGGCAAGAGTTTTACCTTTAATTCTCTAAATATTTATAAAATGGAAGCTCATGTAAACTATTTGCTACAGTCTTATCAGTGAGTACATTCCTTACATCTCAGGCTATCTTGCAATGAGAGGAAGTGCCATCACTCAAATTTTAGATACGACTTCCCTGCATTGTTTTAGCGCATGGTATTGTCTAAATGATCCTGGCATGCATCAGGTGAACTTACTGAAAATATTGTAAGCTTTCCACTTTTGTGCTTCCCCTCCCGCTCCCCCCTCATCCTCCCTCCCACCTAGTATGCACTCTCACCCCACCGAGCTTTATTCATCTGAACAGCACGAGTCCAAAAGCCTTCCCTGATCACAGGTTCCCCAACATCACACACAAATTATTAAAATCCAGTTGATTTGTTAAAAGCAGCTTTTTCAAGATTATACTCACCCAGGCAGAGTAATTTTTTTTAACCTAAGTGTTAGTTTAATCTGTCATCATGGTAAAGGGAAGGCAAGTAGATTTCATGCCTTGCTTTGCAAATTTTCACGACAATTTCGCAAGGCCATTTTAATACACAGCATTGTTCCAAAGTGGCATTTTATTTGCCAAGGAAGTCCAAATACAGTACTGTACCCATATGAAAACAAGTTTATGCAAATATTAATTCTATAGTCCTCTTATTTATATTTCCCATGGGCAGAGTTTCACCATATCTGCAAACAATCCAACAAATACAATAGGCAATTCAAATTTATATGGAAAATTTGAGAAGTCTATTACTTTGCATGTGTATTCACAGAACAATTTTTCAGTCCTTCAAACATATATATAAACTACCACAAGTGTACATGGCTCCGAACAACAGTTTCAGTCATGCCAAACAAAGATATAACAGTCTAAAGATGAGCCTGAAGAGAGCACATGAAAGGAAACTGAAAGATATAAACGGGTACAACCCAGAACGGAGCTTGGTGTTAGCTGGAATATTTCGTAGAATAAATGGGTTCCCATAAATTTGCAGAACCTAGATTTTATAAACCTTTAATTCACTTTTGAATTGGAAAGTTACTTCTACAAAACATGTGAAGGAGAATGTGATAGGATAAAGTAAATGAAGCTAGACAATTAAGTCTGTTTTCAACAAAATATATGGCCATTAGAAAAATCTAAGCATGGAATAAAAATGGCACTAATTGTAACACATTTAGGGCAACAAATGCAGGGTTTCCAATGAGGGAAAGGTACTAAAGAAGTTAAAAAATACCTCATTAAACTTTTGGCAGGGCAACCAGTGTGACTTGAACATTTCTAAATTACCCTGGTATATATATTTGTACTAAGGATGAATGAGAGATTTATGAATCATGAGGGTCCTTTCCACTGTTAAAATGTTCTCTTCCTCTCTCTCTCTAGGAAAAGCCATCAATTTTGACTCTAATGTAGTGAAAATAGTAAGTTCAAGTAGAGTGTATGTGACAGCGTGGCAAGGACACTTTTGCAGTTAACGTTTTTTTTAGTTTTAGATTGTGATCAGTAACAATGAACATCACATTTCTTCCATTAAAAATCTGTATTGTATCATACCAGCACTTTAAACTAGAAAAACAGGCAAGGCAGCAGCATTTTTAAACAGATCTTTGAAAAGGAATACCAATTATTATGACAAGTAACTTCTAAGTTTACTTTAACTAAATGATTCAAGAAAAAAAAACAACAGTTTTACTTTGCATGTCTGACAGCATTTTGCATAGTCACTGTCAACGTATTTCCATTTGTGTGGATCTTGCACATAGCAATACGGAAAAGAAAACACAAGTATGAGATTGTGAAATCAAAGATTGGGTGGAAGGTGAAGTGCCTGAATCTTCTTTCAGTTTGTTTATTATTAGGCCACAAGTGACTTAATCTGGTCACTTTCAAAAA